TAGATAAATTTTTTAGCTAATATAACTGGTACTTCATTTCATTTCCAAACGCCTCATTTAGTTCAGTTGGATAAAGCTTGCAATTCATATGAGATGCCTCTGGTTCGATTCCAAATTATATTTTTAGTTTTACAATATTTACCAAAATTAATGGCAATAGGGAGGAGGGAGTCGAACCTGTGACTCTCCTTGGAGATTATTGGAATCTTTACCATTGGGGCACTTGTTGAGTGATATTAATGTTAACATAATAATATATATTAAGTTGTAGGCTAATTCCCAACGTACAGGGGCAATTTTAACGGGAGCCTTACAGGCCCCTCACAAGGGGGCCGCCACATGTATTAAAAAAATTGTGTGGGCCCCACCATATGTCTTGCCTTTTAAACTCCCTATAGAAAAATTGCTTGTACTCCAACCATCACTCTAAGTTTTAATGGTTTTAATGCAATTGTAAAAATTTGAACTCGGGCTCTTCTTTTGAATTATAACTTGGCCACAATGTCATTTTGTGAGTATTTTTAACTTGTATAACAAAATTATATATGTTTAATTTGAACAAAATAATTTTTATATTTAAATTTTAGGCATTGATTCCCACTTTTTTTTCAAAATACATTTTTCTCTCTTCTTTTTAACCATATTCTTCAATAAAATAATATTATACGCAAATTTAAAAGTTTTACTTATTTTTAAACACACATTCTCAACAAATCACTATTCTAAAATGTATTTTTTTACAAAAAATGAGCATCAAATGAGCTCTTAATATTTTATTACTATCGACGGCCAACGGCTGCCAGTGTTGACTTAAAACCCTGGGTCCGCCCCTGCATCCAGCCTCACCGGTGGCTCATTGGACGATCGCACCACGTAGACCCAAGTTTTTCTCGAAAAATAGGGGCGCCAAATAGGGGGGCAGCAGAATTGTCCAATTTCTTATTTGTAGAATGATTTATCTCTGTATGTATGTGTGATGATGTAATTTTTATTTTTTTATTTAACTAAAAGTGATCGACTTTCTTTTTAACCAGTCATTCTCTTAAAAATACTATTCAAAATTCATTTTTTTTCCAATTAATGGGAATCAAACAGTTTTTTACAGTTTTTTATATTTTTCAGTGATTTTTGTACTCCTGCTTGCTAGTTTCTTATTATTACTATCTAATTTGTGCTTGTTGAATTTTCTTAATAATCATAAGCTTGATTATGAAAGAAGAGGACAAGAATGGCATAAGGTAGTTCGATCTTCTGTGGGTGACTGGAATATAAATGTTGAAACAATAGTCCAATGGTCTCCATTTTCAAGTGAAGCAGATCTTAGTCCTCAGGTGATTTTTCATTGTTGATATTGTTCCCATTGTTTTTGAATAGTTCAACTGTAGACTGCTCGGAGCCCTGTATCATTTGAACAGTAAAAGGATAACATGCTGTCACAACAAATTCTGAGTGAATAATTTTTATTTATAGGGAAGCTAGAAGCTTCTTAGATCAATCTTTTATGTAACATTAAATATTGAGATGCTAGGAAAATCAGCTGTAAAGCTGTTCAATATTTACATGCTCTAGATGATTAGCCTACAAACTATTTGATGAAGCCAGGAAATGTAGTTCCTTTTTTAACTTGTTATTATGTGTTACACGTGCTTAAGTCCATCCTTTATATGCAAATAGGGAGGAGAGAATATAAGATTGGGACATCAGTACGTGTATTTCACAGTAAACTTAGTTTAGATTGGAGCTAAGATTTTGCTCATATAACGCAAACAGTTAAGTAACTCTTGAGATTTTCAAAAGTGGGTTGGGGTGGGATGCCACAATTATGTTATGTTTTGCATCACTTCTCTTTGTTGTTGCAATATTTTATATTTGCAGCCTTACTTGGCTCTATTTTCAGATTGAATGGCTTGTTAGACAGTTGTTTTTGGATTAGTATGATAGAACCCTGATCAAAAGCAGCTTCCAACAAGCACAAGAACAATTGAGAATGCAGATATGAGAGCAAGCTGGCTGGAATGAAGAGTTTCTTTATATTTATATTTATGCTAATTTGAGTACTGGAGATAGAACTAGATTGTAATAAAATAACAGTATGTAAACCTATAGGACTATACCAAGCAACAGAAAATAGAAAATAGGTAATTTGGCATTCGAGAGGCCAATCTCTCCACTAGACGTTTCCATATTTTCCGCCTGCTCTCTTCTCCCCTGCTTCATGTATTTATAATGTGTTCTGTAACAGCCCTTCAACCATTTTTGTTATCCCCCCCCCCCCCAGGTGTTTGTTGATTTTTCCTTTTGGAAATTTCCTTTCCTGCCCTCGGCCTAGACTACAAAAGGTCAGCATAGAAAGAGAAACAAAACTAAAAAACTATTTGTTACATAACTCCCGTACCTGTGTGTTCCAAAAAGGAACTAACTTTGCAGCCTCATAGGCTATTAATTTTTGAGATGGATTATGAAATAGCTAATTTTATATGCTAAAATGCTAAATGTACGTGTAATTGAGTTATAAAAAGTTTGCTCGTTTGGATAATAGAACAAAAGCTTAATTAGACAATCTTGCAGGCCTCATAAACTACCTATGATGCAAACTTTGCTTCACCAGCCATTTTGAGTAGTTTCAAGCAAGGCTTATCTTTCCTAAGTTTGAATTATCTTGTCAACTTCAAATAGCTTTAGAGTCTATCTGGTACATATTTTACATCCTTTCAAAAAATAGGTGAACCTGGTTAACTTGGTTTTACCTTTTGGTTTGTGGGGGATGGGAAGGTGACCTGTGAAATCTCTATCAACAA